TATGTGTATATATATATATATACACATATATTTTCCACTCTTGAAAGATTGAGACATCTAGAAAATACATTACAATAAATATACACAAACCTCAGCTAAGATGGTAACACAGAAGAAAATATTGAAATGTTCCCTTGCTCAAAATGAAACAGAAGTTACCTTGAAATTACACTTTTGTGTGTGCTTCCTGACACAGTTACAATGTCCTCGACAATTTGGCCCGAAAGTGTTCTCAGGACAAATAAGGTTACAACGTGGTCCAAACCGGCCAGGATTACATTCACAGAATCCAAAGAGACGATTACAATGCCCACTTGAACAGATCTGAGGACATGGTTTATCACACTTTTCACCAAAGATCCCTATAAAAGGGAAGTTAAATATTTTAGTTTATTTTATGTTTTTGTGTCACAAAACCAAATTTTAAAGACTGAATAATAGTTTTTTCCATCTTAATAAAAACAGCTTATAGGTAGTTCAGGGTTTTCAAATATATCTTGAAAAAAGTATCAAAGTAGGTCAAATCAGTTCATGTACATTGAAAACGTTAATTCATACCACTAAAATCCAATATACATGGTTAATATGCACCTGATTTTTATCAACATCACAGTTCTAGCCTTATGTTATACGGAAGAATGACGTCCTTGATTCTACATTTGAAATTATGTTAATTATAGTATTTGAACTAGTTAGCAACTGTTTTATAGGCATTGAAAATGTATACAATTATAGGCTAAAAAAACAAAACAAATACATGTGTAATTAATAAACACCTGCAGGACAGCCATCTTCACAGTTTTTGCCCTCAACACCAGGAGGACATACACACTCCCCAGTCTCAACGTCACAAGATCCACCATTCAGGCATTTACAGATTTGGTTACAGCCTTCTCCATAAGTGCCCTAGGAGAAAAATAATTGAAAAAAATAAATAAGACGAGCTAAGTGTAACAGGTTGTTTGCTTTAGAAAAAAACTGGCAAAAAACAACCTTCAGATTACAGAAGTTGTGTCATCTATCATTGATAAATGACTTAATAGATTGTAGTTTGTGTCTAAAGTTTCACACTCATCCTCACTTCACATCTAGTCCTTAGACAATGAAAACAAATTTGGAATCTCATTGCTTTTATAGAAAGATTCTAAGAGATTAAATAAATTATAATACAAAGTGTTTTTTTCTCAAAGCCTTTCATAATGTTTTGGGAGAACTTAACACTACTTGTAAATTTTGCAACAGAAAATTAATAAAAATGTTTTCAGCTGTTTCAGGTTTTATCTAGAATTTTAAAATGGAAGATTTTAAACTTTTCTGGGTTGAAAAAGTGACCACAGGGTAATCAGAGTATTCAGCACAAAATTAATTTATCTACTTCACATGCAGATATTTTACTGAAAAATACAATTCATAAGTATCATATGACCACTACTATGAAAGGATTTACACATTGTAATATTTAGTGAAAATAATTTAAAACTACACATTCTAATCAGTTCTTAGCGACAATTTATGAAACAGAATTTAAAATAACTAATTTTTAAACACAATTTTTAACTATATGATATCAGATACTACACTATCCCTTGTTGTCTAGAAGAGTGAATGAATAAATTTTAATACACCTACATAAAGCATTATAAACAGAAATTTTCCAGCTTTATCTTTAAGCTACTATTAAGTGGTAACATAAAAAAATCAAGCTAAAACTAACCTCGGAGCAGCTTTCATTACATAACAATCCTTTATATCCAGGTAAACAATCACAGCCATTTTTCTTAGCATTACATCTTCCTCTACTAAGGCAGTCATCACACGTAAAAGTACAATATGGACCAAATTTTCCTTTATCACAGGCTGGAAGGAGACAGATGCATCTCAATTTATGCAAGGTGAGTATATAATAACATAGGACAATATAATGATATTGTAGAAGCTTCAGATATTCTAAAATCTCATATTGTAACAACTGCATGATATTGTACAGAACATTTACAACCGACTCAAAAACACACCCACATATAGATGTTTATGTTGATAATGATAAGAAATCCACCTGAAATAAAAATGTATAGCAGTGATACCTGGTATGAATATTAAAAACTTTAATTAAGATAAAGTACAAGAACAATGTTTCGACCTTATTGGGTCATCTTCAGGTTAACAAAGACAGTTTGAAATGAGTTCTACTAGTTTCAAACTGTCTTTGTTAACCTGAAAATGACCTAAGAAGGTCAAAACGTTGTTCTTGTACTTTATTTTCATTAAAGTTTTTAATACCCATACCAGCCATCCCTGCTATACAGATGTTTATGTTCATGCTACAATAATCAGCATGCCAGAAGCTAGTTCAGGAGCTAACACATACACGTGGTACAGAAATTGAAGTATAACCATCAGCTTAAGTCAGCTAACAATGTTGCAAAAACTATATATCATTTAACTTTGATGTTTCATCGTATTGTTATTCTTCATGGATTCATGTAAACTACAACATTATAAATCATGCAACCTAATCTAATAAAATTCTACTTACATTAAAAAATTTGTTCTTAGAGCAAGTTTTCAAATGCAAATTTTACTTGAAACTTATATTCTTGATGTAAAACAAATACACACTTCATTATGTTAGTATTATTTAACAATGTGAAGGAACATTTATCTTTAGCTTTCTTTTAGCAAGTCTCCATCATATAAATCCAGCTATATGTAAATACATTCAGCAGCTCATTAGCATTTAAAGTGTACTTTTTTTTCTGATTTACAGTTTAATTTGCAACACAGTACCTTCTCTTAGAGGGAGTGCTTCCAGAGCAAGTTGTTGATAGCGAGTATCGTCCACAATTGGAATTACAGTAGGAGGTATAGATTGAAAACGAAGCCTTGAAGATAGTGCAGCACTCGGAAAAGGAAGGTCTCCACGATGAGGTCCACTATACCCATTTCTTGCATCAAATTCAACTAAAAAACAGATAACTCTTAAAGTGGAAGCAACTAAATATAGTAATGAAACATGTTGAAGCTAGCCTTAAACAACAACAAAAACATTTCATATGTTCTTGCTACAATAAAAATAAATTCAAAGATTTTAATACTTTCATTAAGTGATTAACAATATCAAAATATCTCATTATGAACTTACGACCTCAACAAATGAAAATATATTTTAAGCACACTTATCTGAATAAGTTTTAAAGTGTGATGGAACCTGCACAATAAAGGATACTTGAAACACAAAAGTCTTATCGATTATTCAAATGTAACAAAAGATACAAGTTTTACATAAATGGGGTATTTGACTATTCTTGGATTTTGTTTCAGAAAGTGAAAAAAAAAACTTACATAGAGGTAGCTGATCATTTCAATATACTAAATATTTGTTGAAGGTAAATCATAAAACGCTTGAAAAAACGACATTAAGGATACGAATTGTGTTGTATTTAATGTGGATTTTATAAGAAATGAAATGATAATGGTGGTGGACACTTTGAACATTTGTAAGACTATTTTCGTGATCATACGAATAGCGTTTAATCCTGCAAAAAGATATGTTGTGTAACTTATACTTTTATTTTTCTTTATTGGGGGTTCACTATGGCCTATCTGATATATGAGATAATAAGACATTTCTTATTCACTGTGTAAATATCAAAATAAACTCTATCACAGTATAAAAAGTGTCACATATATATCTATATATTAATAAATAACTAGATATAGAAAAAAAGTAAAAACTTATTGCACAAGAATAAATTCAAGTAAAAACATAATTATAAAAGTTTTTCATGGGTGGAAGGCTTATATCAAAATAAACTCTATCACAGTATAAAAAGTGTCATATATTTTTCTATATATTAATAAATAACAAATATAGAAAAAAAGTAAAAACTTATTGCACAAGAATAAATTCAAGTAAAAACATAATTATAAAAGTTTTTCCCGGGTGGAAGGTTTACATCTTTATAGATGATTTATAAAAAGCTTTGCATTTAATTATATTTCTCATTAAATTTCTAAAATTGGTGTAAACTGTACGGCTGGGATGATATAAAAAAAAGCTCAAGAAACTGTTGATGTAAGTAGCAGGAAATACAAATATATTCATAGCGTTAGTTTTGGTTTCATAAGAATGATTTTAGTTTTCGCTGTAAATTACATGGCCTACTTACCAACAACCTCACAAGTTTGACCATCAGTCTGTAACTTATATCCATCACCACAATAACATCGGAAAGTTCCTAATGTATTTTCGCACTTTTGCTGACATCCACCATTTTCTCTCAAGCATTCATTGATATCTAATAAAAATAAAGCACTTTATTTCCAAATCTACACTTGGCAATTTACTCAGGTAAAGATTGTAATACTAATCATGATTGTAAGATGAGACATATTATTTAACTACGACATATTTCACGTTTATAAAAGTTAAAAATCATCATAAATATCCAATATACTCGTGTAAAGAAAAAAAAAAAACTGAACTGTTCATTAGCTTGATTTTTGATGTTATAAAAAAGATGCTTATATGCATGTATAATAACAGAAAACAATTACTTTTTGGACAAGAAGTTTCTAAATCACACAATATTAGTTTCAATAGTAAAATAATGAAATGAAGCATGGATATAGTTTTCAAAACAGATAAAAATTATAGCAGTACAAACAGGGTCGCATTAAGGTTTAGTGCCATTTTGTAATATTGGGGCATTGTAACCCATCTTACCAGATCGAGATACCAGATACTGAGTGATCATGTGACTGAACAGGTTATTAATGATTTAATTAATACAAAGGCTTTATTTCTGGAGCAAATAAGTGGAGGTGGGGCAGCAAAAAAAAATATCTCGTTAGGGTTAAATAAGAACATAAAATTTTTGTTGCCACTTTTGTTCTATGTTTCTTAAATTTGCCACCCTAGGCAGCTGCCTACTCTGCCTATGCATAAATGCGGCTCTATGTTTGAATTCATCCACAACTGAAACAGATGTTCATTTATAAAGGCATAGGTGCAAGACTTATGTCTATAAAGTTTACCTTTGCAATACTGTAAATGATAACATTCTGAAACTTAAAAGAAATATTGAAAATATTGTGAAGTTCCTCAAATTTACAGTTTTAACTTGTCACACACACACACATTTGGGATATCTGAGTAAAGAAGTCGAATTATCTAATCTGGAAACTGATATATAATATATAAAATACATATATATGTACAAAACTGTATAAAGTTCATTATAATGTATCAAATGTTTATTTCAGTCAAATTGTTCAGACTAAATCCTCTACTCTTCACATTACATTACCATAACTATGTTCATATCAATCATTTTATCATTTGTACAAACTAAGAAATCATACATTTAGTTTCATTACTATCCATGTTGCAGCCAATTCACTAATAATTACAATTATTCACTTTTTATACATTGAATTAATACACTTTTCTTTGTATTTTTGTTCTCTGTACTACTGATCAGCTTCATTTTATGAATTTATAGTTTATAGAGTAGTGTAGTTGATATATATACAACTAATTACTATTTCTATTTGTAGACTCAACAGTACACTTAGCCCATCTAAAGAAAAATAACTTCCAGAGATCACTGAACAATATAACTAACACTGGTAACATTATATTAATACTTTATATTATTTCAAAGAGTAGACTCACTATTATACCTAATCTAGTGAAACAGGAATAACTTCTAGAGATACTCATAATCGTCATTATTAAAGGTATAACCAAATCTAACAAAAAAAGACCGTAGAGCAGGTTAACTGATACTGGGAAGACTAGATTAAAATATATTATTTCAAAGAATAGATTCACTATTAAACTAGTAATCATCATTACCAAAGGTCTAATCCAGTCTACAGAAATAACTTCAAAACAATGCAAAGCAGTGTAACTGATACTAATAACACTAGACTAAGTTACTTTATACTATTCTTATTAATGGCGTAAGCTAGACAAGAAAATCAGAATAACCTCTTGAGATTTTAGGGTAGTGTACATAATGCAGATAATACTAAAATGTTAAGGCTATTTCTGAGGTTAAACCCACCATTACACTTGTAACCATCCCTACTAAGGGTATAACCCAGCCTACAGGAACAGGAATATCCTCCAGGAGAGTTGCTGCAGTCTTGCTCACAGAGATCAGTCTCATCTTCACATTCGTTAATGTCTAAAATTATAAAAAAAATTAAAAACTGAACTATTTGAAAAGTCAATATTGATACAAAGGATCATACCAACAGAGTAAAAGAGTGCTTAGGGATTAATATCCACTAAAGAATAAGCAATGCAACCAAGGTTTGACCTGAACCTGACCTTACACAAAATCTTGACAGAATTTGATTTATTTGTTTTTTAATGTTTGATGAACAACAATGACTTATGATTCTGTATGCATCTGTTTCCTCTCCACAGGGGATGAAACAGAGGGGGAGCACTGGAGGCATATACACTCCAATTGTGACCCATTAACAAAATACCCATTTGAATATTATGGATAGTCACTGTTTCAAGTTTAAATTTAATGGCCATGGTTGACATAGCAAATAAGGTTCTCCCAATCTTCTGTGTTCCCTCAAATTCAAACACGTTTTGTCGCCTATGTTCCTCCACATTTGGGGAATATTATTAAAAACCATGTAGGAGTTAGTATCAGAATATGTCATCATCTTAACCTGTTAAATGTAACTGCAAGTTGTACCTTTATGTTAAATACTGCTGAATCAAGTTATCAAGCTTTTTATTTTTACATTTGTGTTTGTTACATTTTACAATATACTTAATTTATTCTGACTACATCCCTTTTTTTCTTGGCAAATTTTTTCAAATTAACGTGCACGAGATATTTTATATAAATAGTTATTCTTACAGATAAAAAACATATTTTAAACTTCTTGATTTAAACTAAGATTTTAAACGTTTTCTATTTTTTTTTTGGTATCCTGATTTCAATAACTGGATCCTTAAATAAATTGTTTTCTGTATAACAAGGCTTAGCTCTATATTTAGGACATAAAATCTGAAAATGCTCCAATTATAAATTTCTGGGTCATAATTATTATGTGAATTTCAAATGTTATGAAAAATAAGTCACAGGAAATTTAAGGTTCATAATGTATTTTTTAAATAGAGAACTGTAAATGATTTAAAATAGTCACTACAATAAGACAGTCATGAAGAAACAATGATATGACTATTGATATCAGTTTCTAAAACTCTTATTGATAAAATTTTGTTCAGAATTTAACTATTACCAAACCATACCTGAGAAAGTAAGAATCTAATACACTAAATAAGCACGTAGGTCTATGAATATAATTAGGGCCTGAAAACAGAAGTTGTTTTAACTCTTTTACGGCTTTTGGCACACATATGTTTTCCTCCAAAGCTCTGTCATGCAAGTTTGGAATTTAAAATCACCATGAAAAAAAGATACTTCCCTTCTCAAAGTTTATCAGTTTCAAGTTAGAAAAATAATGAATGCCTGTCCCATGAGCCAGCCCAGCATTTTTTAGTACTACGCCTAGGATGGTCAACATGGGAATCATTCCATTTAGGGTTACTTATGAATGAATGAAGCTTGGCACAGCTTCTAAAATGAAAATATGATATAATGAAATCTATATGGATTATAATATGGTAGTATCATATTGGGCATTACACCATCCTTAATATATTTACTCTTCATTGCAGAAGAGGTATTTTAAATTTGAGAATCACTAGGGACATCATCTGGTAATGCATTGTGCATCTACTCCAACTTCAATATCTTTGAGTTTTACACAATACCGAAACTAATGATTTCCTATACGTTACTTCCAATCCCCCTTTCTGATGATAACAATACTATTTTTTTTAATGTTTCGCTGTCAATGCAGTAATCAAGTAATGAATCACCGATTCAGCTGGTATGTCAAATCAATTGCAATATCTTCAAATAAGTTCTTCTCTCATCCAACCTAGACCCACAATTTAGATTAATCACTGCACTTAAACTAACACATTTACAACAACAGCTAAAACATTTCAAGCATGTTTCATTGCTGCATCGTTTTACTTTACATTTACAAGTTAACTACTCCATGTGGGCTCTCATGGTCTTTGGCAAGGTCGCTGAACTTGAAAATAGTGCAAAACGTGCTGCATCATTTTACTTTACATTTACAAGTTAACTACTCCATGTGGGCTCTCATGGTCTTGGGTCAAGTTCAGCGACCTTGAAAATAGTGCAAAATGTCTTCTTCTTCTCTAATCAAAACAACCCAACCCAAACCTTTCCCGAATGACTCATATTTTTGGATCCACATCAAGATGCAGGGCTGACTCATGTGGCAGGTGCTTTTTTATTGTGTATCTGAAAAAAAAAACTGGCACAAGTAGAGTTGTTCAGCTATAAACACAACAGTGAGGGATAGATATATTTTTTATTAGAGGTTATTTCCTTGTGAAGAGAATCAACTTTTCAGAAGCTCTTGAGTTATCAAATCTTTTGAAACGTAGCAGAAAGTGTGAAATTATTCATAAATTGAACTGTCTTTACCTTTGCATGATTTTGAATCAGATCCTAACTCAAAGCCAGCATAACATGAACATATAGGTCCACCGGGACCATGTTGACACTTCTGTTCACAACCTCCATTCCTGTCAACACAAGAGTTTACGATTTCCATGTCGATTCCTGAAGAAATTACTAATAGTTAGTACATGAAATGATGTTTAATATGATTTTCATAAGCACAAGGATTCACAAATTCCACATATAGTTGTTGATGGTATCTAAACCAAGTTTTGATACCTGTGGTTGGCACATTACAGAGAACCCATTGTTTAGCTTTGTGCTTAACTACATACAAACAAACAAATCAAGTCTTAATATTAGTTTGTTTTTTGTTTGTCTAAAAATACAGAGTTAAATACTAGTATAAATAAATTAGTTGTATTATATTGGACAAAAATAATTGTAATTTGTAAAATAACAGTTTATTAACACAATTATTCCAATGTAAAAAAGTATTGTATAAAATTCTTTTGTATATCTAATTTTTATCATTACAATGCCAGTATTCATTTTTCTTTTTCAGTAATATTTTTAAAATGCTTTATCAAGATAATAAAATTTTAAAGAAGTCTGCACAAAATGGCTCAGTAAAAAAGAAATAAACTTCATAATTTATAGTCTCTAATTTGTTTGTTTGTCTTTATCATTAAACCAAAACCTTTTTACCAGAATTTGGCAAAAGTAAAATTACACTAAGTACATTACTGATGTTCCAGTCTTAAATATCTTCAGTTAATCTTTTATATCTTGTAAATTCTTTAGCTTGCACAAGAGACACACCTCTAAGTAATCTGATATTTAAAACTACTGTTTTACAAAAATTAGGTCAACAAATACAAAGTATATAATACACTTTAGAAAATTATACAAAAACTATAAACTTCATACAGCTATAAACTTCATACAGATTTACTAATATTGTGATTTAAACATAAAAAACAGGTACAATAAGGTATTCAAATACATTAAAGTTGGTACTAAAAAGTAAGAACGTTGTTACAAATACTCAATAATTGATCATTTTATTTGTTTAAACATGCATCAGAAATAAACTTGTTGTATTATTTTAATTAAAAGCAACTGTAATTTGTAAGATAATAGTTCATTATCACAATTATTCCCTTTGCCTATCATCTTTGTTACACACAAGTCAGAGTTTGACAGCAACATGAATAATACTTTGGATGTGACTGTGTCATCCAAATCATGATAATTATTTTGTATTGATGAAATTCTAAGGGAATGATCCAACATAATTTAGCATCGTAATGCACTATTACATGTTATATCCAACAAATATTAATTATTACATCTAGAATTTGATTTGTCCAACACGAACCTCTGATTCGAATCCAAATGAACTGCTTTTGGAACACCACCTAAAGGACAAATCCTAAATTTTCCTTACATTCGCAACAAGATAAGACATCAATTCCATTAGATGTGTATCAATAATTTGCAGAAATTGTTTGTAACCAAGTGCAGTCTATGATTTACATCACAGGTGGGTTCACTGTCCATTAAAATGAGACTCTAGTTATGAAGGATGGCACCTCCTATTTCATAAAGTTCCATTCTAAAAGTTATGGTATAGAATGTCAGGAACATAAAACAGATATTGTTGGCTTAATTTCCCAAAATTAAATACAGATGATATCAACAACAATGTCCATACTTACTGAAGCAAGAATAGCCATCACTACCCAGTTGATAGTTTTCATTACAATCGCAGTTGTATGTTCCAATTCTATTTATGCATACCTGAGTACATGGGTTTCTAACCAAGCACTCATTAACATCTGAAAATAACAATGAAAAATTTGTAAATTGACTGTAAATTGTACTACATACAAGGGGATCAATAAGTACAAAATCTTCAAAATATTGTTCAATTTTGGCTCTTTGGTTGCATTATTTAGAAGAAATAATTTGATGCTAAGTCAGTTACATCATTGTTTGAATTTCTGAAGCTATGTCATCTAGTGGTAGCAATCATTCCATCAGTGTATGTAGGTTTTTATTTGATGTAATGCCAATTTTATCCATTAATCAATTTTGTTTAATGGTAGTAAAAATAAAGAACAGGTAGAAAATGATAACACTTATGGCCTATTATCAGTTGAGGTTAATATTATGAGCTATAAGTAATAAGCTATTTCTATCCGTTAAGTTCTGAAAAATAAAAACACTATTAAAACTCTTTACAATTTTACAACCTAGTCAAGCTCCCTAACCACCTGGAAATGTAGATGTATATATACAGACATACAGGGTTTTGTGTAAGAATGTTAATTTTTTGTGTTTCTTTATTTGGTTTTATTATAGTTATTGACAAGTGTAGAATACAGAATGGTGGTTGTGAACATCATTGTATTAGTGACAATGATACTGTTATGTGTAGCTGCCAAGAAGGATATGTGCTTGCAGATAATAAAAAGAACTGTGAAGGTAAGATAAGTTATTGATTATTTTTATCAGGTTTATAAATTATCATTAAAACATAATTAAAATGTTCTTCAGTAATACTAATAAACCATTTACAAAATTAACTTTACAATTTATTTATGATGTGTTACAGATGTCTAATCAAAAGGAACTCAATATTTATAGTGTTTTATTTCACTCGACAGCCTTTAAACTTTAGAATCACTTTACATAATCATTTCAAGAGTTTTTAATGGTTAAAATTTCTTCAAGTGAACATTTTCCCATTGAATCATCAGTATATGACATTTCACCATATTTTGTCTGCAGCAGTTCTCTGATAGGACAGCTGTGAGTCTTTCAGTCATGTTCATATATGTTTCTGATAAGACTTATAGATTACAAGAACCTGTTATGTATTTTTCATATAAATAAAACTTGAAAATCTTGTAAAAGTGTGTTTGTACTGCTAAAAAGCTGTAGCCTAGTGATTGATGTGCCAGACTGTGAATCTGAGGGTCAATGGCTTGTTTTCTATTAACCTTAAAATATGCCTTCAAAGAGTTAGAATCAAATCTTACTATTTGACATGAGTAGTCCAAGAGTTGACAGTGACTGTTCTTGACTAGCTGCCTTCTCTCTTGCTTGTCAGTTTCAGAGAGGGTTAGTACAGATGTCCTTATGTAGCTTTGTACAAAGTTTCTAAGACATACAAGCCAACAAATCAGTTCAGGGACCAAGTACCAGTATATCATTGACATTGCTGGTGCAATTAAGACATAATAAAGAATGTTTTATGTTATATATTTTTTTTAGTGATAATATTTATTTCAAAATATAGATGTTTGTTTGTTGGTTTTTGAATTTCACGCAAAGCTACACAAGGGATATCTGCATTAGCCATCCCTAATTTAGCAGTGCAATACTAGAGGGAAGGCAGCTAGTCATCACTACCCACCACCAACTCTTGGGCTACTCTTTTACCAACGAATAGTGAGATTGACTGTCACATTATAGCTCCCCACAGTTGAAAGGGGGAGCATGTTTAGTGGGATGGGGATTCGAACCCGTGACCCACAGATTGCAATGGCCACCTAACAATGAGCTCAAGCTATTAGCTGAAGGAGTTCATGCTATTAAGTTACATGTAATGGCTGAAAATCACATAAACATTGAAACAATATGCATAAATTACAATTACTTACTCTCACAGCTTCGTGTGTCTCTTCCAAGTCTGTAACCCTCTTGACAGCTACAGATGGTCCTACCATCTACATTATTACAATAATGTGCACAACCTCCGTTGTCTATTCTACATCTATCTATTATTGAAAGTAAAATAAAAAACATATTCAACAACTTTGCTCTCTCTATGTTTGCTCACTTGATAAAATCCAAAACATAATTTGACGAAATGTTAAAAAATATTGTTTATTCTTATTCGATGACGAGGAACCCACGTTGAGACTAATAATGGCTGGAGACGGCTTGAATGGGTAATGAAGAAAAACTTTAATACAACAGCAAATGTACAACGTTTCGACAAGGTACCTGATGATGACAAAACCTTGTCGAAATGTTGTACATTTGCTGTTGTATTAAAGTTTTTCTTCATTACCCATTCAAGCCGTCTCCAGCCATTATTGTTTATTCTTGTTCATAGGTAAGTATTGGGATCCATAGAAGCTCTACAAAGTATTTCTCTAAGTCTTTTAATTACAAGTTAATCATTAGTTTCATTATTATAGATTTATAACTGTAATTTAATAATACCATATTATTTCTAATTTGAAGCGGTATAATTAATGCACGATGAAAAACAAAATATCTGAGTAATTAGTGAAGACACAATTATTCTATGAACAATGGTTGAAACATATTCACAAACTACCACTGACATGAAACCTTATGGTTTAAAACATCAATTCCATTACCTTCTTGGACATTTTTCACAACCATATTTAAAAAACTATATATATATACACACATGTAAATTAATTATTTTCGCCACCCTTCCTTACCATCACAAGATTTTCCATCACGTTGCAGTTGATAACCAGGTCTACAACTACACCGCACCTGGCCATTTATTTCATTGCACGGATCAGCACATTCACCATTGTTAATACTGCAGCGATTGACATTTCAAAGTTTAATATTTAGCAAGTATATTTACAAACTAAAAGTATATTCTAGAATATTTAGCCACAGCTTCATTGATGCCAATAGCATTTAATTTCAATAATTCATCACTAATTGCTGATATTCGATGAGTACTCAAGAGAAAAAAGGTGATTTTTCTTAATGTTACTTTGACGATAGAACATTGAAACCTTGTTAATTGGTTCAAAAAGCCTAGTGGGCTGACTGTGTACTAAGCTTACAAATACAAGTTTATAAAGTTAGTCCTAATTATCAACATTATTAAATGATCAATTAAGGTAGTTTTTCAGTTCAGAACTTCATAAGAATTAACAATAATTTTAATGATATGTATTAGAAGACAATACTTCAATAAAATATCTCAGAACTATTACTGTTTCATGACAGTTATTAAGTCTAATAATCACATTACAGTTTTTTTTTACCTAACCTTCTGCATCACAACATGAGCATCTGCAGAACTTAGTGCAGGTGAGGGCAAGCCATCACGGAGCACAGGCCATTTGCCTTGAAGTTTGAATGTGATGCTCTTACTGATTATGGCTTATTTATGTAAACCTAATTTTGTCAATTATATTTAAACAGTGGTATTTTCTAATACATTTTTTAAACAGATTATTCAAATAAATTTTCTTCTGAAATTCTGGGAGGGGGGCATTTGCCCTTCTCTTGTCCCATCCTGTAGATGCCCATGTGTCACAGTCTATTCCACTATATAAATTTATGTTCAAAATTAAAGATAGTATTATAAATTTGGATTGTTTTCATGCTCCTTTTAAAACACTGTGTTCAGTTTTGGACCTACTAAATTAATATGAAAAGCCACAGACTTTATGGAAAGACTACTATATACAAAGTTACAGAATAATTTCTACTTTCAATAACTTTCAATAAAGAAAATGAAATAGTCGGACTTATTTTTTCTGGTGAGAAGAAGTAACAGGAATAAGATTCGGTTGTGTTAAAAGAACTATCTGGGGATTTTGAAAAGGTTGGTTATCATCATTCTTTTTTTAATAGTAGACTTAAAGGGAACTGAATAGTGCAGGCAACATGCACAAACTTCAGAAAGTCTTGCATAGATTTGTTCATACACTACTTTTCTCTAATTAGTTGGTTAATTGGACTAACACTTGACCAACACCTTTAATCTTAATGAAAGTGAGGTTATGGATATTGGCTAACAAACATTAACCTTGCTGTGGAAGCTAGGAGAAACTGATTCAAAAAAGATGTAGACATAGCTATCACAAAATCTTTAAAAACCTTTTAGACAAGGTATATTGGGTAGTAATAAGGCAACTAGGATTTAGGTTACGTACATAAAGTATACATGTCCAAGAAAGTCATCAGTTCACCAAATGAGGAGCTGGTTAGGCCTCATTTTGAATACTAGGTTTAGTTGTAGTCAACTTATCTAAGAAAGGATGTTGAATTTTGGGAGAGAGGATTCAGAGAAGGCCTAACAAACTAATTCCAGGTTTAAAGAGGTTGAAGTCTCTGGACATATTTTTACTGGAGAGGAAAAATTTTTATTATGAGCTCAAAGAAGGACCTGATTGATGATTTTATGATTGTTAAAGGTTTGGAATCCATAAATCCAAGCATAAAAAAAAACATTGCAGGAAGTTAGGTCAGAGGACATTAGTTTAAGCTATGTAAAAGTCAGACAAAATTCCCCATATGGCAGTGGTATTTTTTTAATTGGGAGTGGTTGGCCTATAGAGTAATCTGTGGTAGAAGCTACAACACTGAAGGAGTTTAAGATGAGCTTATACGAATATTGTAGAGATCAGGTTGGAGATAAGAAAAGGTGTTTTATGCATAACTTGTACTAGGTTAATATTGGAAAAAGAAAACAGGATAGCTTAGAAGAGCCAAATGGTCCCTTGTTATCCTTTGAAATGAGAAAAAGGTGATTTTAAATAATGCTAAAGATAGAATGATTTTAGTTCCTTTCTTTAAAGAGTAAGTTGGTAACTTAGATGGTTGATCACACTGACTAGAAATAATTGGATGCTATATCAAACACCAGTTACATCATTGTTTGAATTTCTGAAGCTATGCCATCTAGTGGTTGCAATCATTCCCTTAGTGTATATAGGTTTTTATTTGATGTAACGCCAATTTTATCCATTAATAAATTTTGTTTAATGGTAGTAAAATTAAAGAACAGGTAGAAAATGATAACACTTCTGAAACAGAATGGCCTATTATCAGTTGAGGTTAATATTAAGAGTTATATGTAATAAGCTATTTTTATCCATTAAGTTCTGAAAAAAAAAACACACTATTAAAACTCTTTAAAATTTTACAACCTATTTTTAGCAGTACAAACACACTTTTACAAGATTTTCAAGTTTTATTTATATGAAAAATACATAACAGGTTCTTGTAATCTATAAGTCTTATCAGAAACATATTTGAACATATCAAACTGAAAGATTCACAGCTGTCCTATCAGAGAACTGCTGCA